TTTTTAGACCGATGAGCTTTGTAAAAATCGATGCGTTTCAGAAAGGTGGGGCATAGAGGAGAAACAATAATGTACAGTATGTGGAAAATAATGTGTTTTTTTAACCTTAAACCACATAAACACATTTCATTACACCAAATACACAAAATAATGTTCTTTTTAGCAGCATCATATGACCCCTTTAATTATTTGATAATAATTTATAATGTGTAACTAATAATTAAATACATACAATTAATTTTCATAAAAAAATTGTATTGTTTCTTGTAAATACACTTTAGCATACTTTTAAAAACAGAAATAATATACTCTAAAGAAAATACTTAAGTGCAAATTGAATGTAATGTTTTCAGACACTTACTTGCGTGCTATTTGCAAATAAATGAAAATGTATTATAGTTTAAATTTATATTAAATGCAATTAGTTGAACTTAAGTAGGACTTAAGTAGATCTTTATATGTAATTTAATCATTAATTCTATTGTCTTTGAAATATGGTTAAAGTGTAACTGCTGAATGTACTGACAAGCATTTATGAGAATCTAAAATATTCTATTGAAACGTCTATGTAATGTATATAAATATATTTGTAATTTCACATTTGTAATTTAGTACATATATTAGCTGTAAATGTAATATCAAATAACACAATACAGTTGCAATTGTAATCAAGTTCTTTACATGTGCTTTAGTATGTAAGTTCAAGTTCTTTAAAGCATAACAAAAGATTATTAAAACACAATGATTTAAGATGTACTGGCATTAATCTGGCATCATTAAAAAGTATACTTTTTCAAAGTGTGTTAAGAACATAGTCTTGAAAGTGTATTCTCTTTAAGTACTCTTTTAAGATGCCACTTATTTCATTAATATTATATTATCTGCAAGTACATTTAATAAAAATAAATATGTATACGTTTTGAAGTGCACATTCAATAAGCGCACAAGAGTTTGTACAGTTCGTGATACAACATGAATAAAAAATCAAACAGGAGGTGAGATGAGGGGGTGTGTGGAAGAGAGCATAAGAAGGCATATAAATGTAGGTCACTAGAGTTGCTTGCCATTTAACAGACACATTTGCTTCAGTAACAGAAAGCCATCTGCGGAGGCCGTCCCGCAGGGTGAGGGAGTCTCTCAGCGGCACAACACTGATGAAGCAGGGTTGAGTCACCCCTTCTTGGGATTTAAACTGTGCTTTTTGTGTTGGCAAAACAGATCCTTGAACAAACCACACATTTGCCAGCAGAGCTCTTTGCAAACCTGCTGACCTATTTTGCGAGTATGATGCCGGTGTGCAGTGTGAAAAAGATGGGCGCTTCTTTTTCTCTGTCTGATATCAAAAAGATGCAGCAACATAGACAGATTTTCCCATGAAGCTGAATCATAAATAGCTTAATATTATTTATAATTGTTATCATGTATCAAGTCAGAAATGTAAATTCTGTCATTATTTGCCCTCTTTCTTTGTTCTGTGGAACACAAAAGGATACATGTTGAAGACTGTACTAGCCACGTTTGACTGTGTATTAATAAAATGGCTGCTTTTTTACATAAAGCAGACCCAAAATGTGCATTTCAGTCCTTTCGAAGCCTTTTCACTGAGATTTACATGAAATATTAACAACCCCACGAGATTATAGAGGGCTCTCATCTGTGAGGCGCTTTCATGACAAATATGGACTGACCTATAAATATGAAAGAATTCGGGTGTAATCGAAATTTTTTAACAGCCCTCAGTGAATCTCAATAATCTAGATAGAAGAATGATAAGCAGATCTGTATCAAATCCAAAAAGTATGATCAGATGAATGCTACAGCTTTCCTGTATTGGGAAATATTTAATAGTCTATTAAAATATCTATTCTATCAGGCTTTTTGTCCCTTTAAGTGTCAAAATCTTTTAAAGTGAGTGTGAGGTGACAATAAGCTGTCAATCATATAACCTATGCTCCTTTAACTGGTACATGTGTATATAACAGTTGGGGAGTGACTATAATGAATCTTTGTATTAGTATATGAAAATACATATTGTATATGGGTCAATAATATGACACTTTTGTCTGTATCTTTGAAGTTATTCAAAAATACATTAAAAATACAGTTATAAAAATGCTTAAATACATCTGTTCAATGATAAAGATGTTTTCAGTTTATAAATGCAATGTTCTCTTTTAAATTATTAGCAATGTTTGTTATTTTTATTGTTTATTGGCATCATTCATATATTTATAACAATAAATAAGTCATATATGAATTATAATTTATTAATATTACTTTTGTCCACCAAATCAAAGTCAGTGTGGTGTTACTAACACAAAGGAGGCCATTTTTATAACCTGACAATAAAACCATAAAACAGAGAGAATCCCGTTTAGACCAATCACTGCACGTCAAGGTCATGAAGTTTGCTAAAAATATTAATTTTTTTGACCTTTTAATGAAAAAAAAAATATTCTTGTTCCAAGTCAAATGAAGTAACCCCAAGAAAACTTAAAATACATTATTATTATTATTACATATTCATGACTCAAAAATGTATGATAGTAGTAAAAAAATGCTTTGAATTTATTTGAAGGTTGCACCACTTGACATTTTTAGTCATTCAATCAAACTTTTTTGAAGAGAATGTGGAATAATTGTTTTTCAAAATGTATGAAACCAATATGGATACAAATATTACATTTCTAAGACCTGGCATGTGCGTTTTAAACTATAGATTTTTAAAATATTTCTCCTTTTCGTCATTTCAGAGCCTTACTTGTCACTGACCCATATAGCAACATCTCTTTGTTATGAACACGGTGTTTGTGTAAATGAACCCAGTCAACCCTCAAGCTTGATCTTTTATTGTTTTAATATAGCAGCCTATAAAATCCTACAATATCACAGGAAGGATATGGGTAATCTTACCGTTGCACCACTGGAAAGGGTGCATCAATCCACCGTGAGGTTCCTTTGTATGAAGGGATGTGTGTTTATAAACAGAGAGATGATGCCCTCTGTCTCTGTCGCTCTGTCAGGCCATGCAGCACATCTGGCTTCATCTGACTAAACGCAATCCTCGCACGTCTTCATAGCGATTTCAGTCGTTTCATCCAGTCGTTCACATTCACGACACACTCATATTCTGCCGTTCGCTCGCGTTCACGTGCGATGAAGAGAAAACGTCCTCCGTTTTACATCTGATCGCGTGTCGTGGCTGATGTTGGCATCCATTGAGAGCTAAACAAGAGCGAATTCAAGTCCCTCCCAGCCGGAGTGATGGGCACAACATTGAGCCAATCTTCTTCAGCACGCTTCTCCACTGTCAGCTGTGACTCACATACGAAGACATAAACACGACGGTCCTCTGGCTGTCATTTTGTATATTCACATGACACATTAAATGTAATGCATAAGTAATTGGTATATAAAAACGATTCCAAAATAATGACACTTTCTGAAGAAAATTTGAGTGGTGTTTGTCAGCGCAACACTCATGACCATTATGCTGGATTTTTGTGTGTGATGGCATGAGTCAAAGGAACCCACCTTTATGCCTGGTTCTGAGATATGACAGGGGCCCCCAAGGGCCGACAAAAGGTCGACAAAGGGCCCCTTTATTAAAAATATCCCACCCTCGTGTCTTCACATTATGGTGGTACTGAGATATTGGAGGGGCCCCTAAACTGCCACAAGTAAAAAAAAAGAGTCCACCCAGCATTTCTCTACAAATCCCTCATCCCGAGGGGCCCCTAAGGGCCTCAATACACAATAACCCACCCCTGTGCCTCTGTGATGTTGTGGTGCCAAGATAAGGTCTATAGGGTGTTGACTGGTTGGCACAGAGTTCATTTCTTTGTTTTTTAATCATTATTAAAACATTTTTGTATATTTTAGCCTTCGAAGATATTAAAATTATATTGATATTTCATGATTTGTACAGTTAAGTAAATCTGTTGTTTTACATGTGATAAATAAAGGTTTTAGTGTGCACTTAAAATTAAGTAAGGAATGAATATCATTCAGAAAAAACACATGGCTTGTAGATGTGAAATCTTTATTCAATTTCATATTGTAATATATATTAATGAATCATATAATTAAGCATATATATATATACAGTCATGTCATATATTACTATTATTACTAATATATATATATATGTGTGTGTGTGTGTGTACTGTAATATACTGTATTTACTGTATTACTTTACAGTAATATATATATATATATATATATATATATAAATATAAAATATATATATATAAAACGGTCATTTTATATATATATATATATATATATATATATATATATTGCAAAACATCATTGCAAAACAAATTCTATAGACTGTTTTATGAAACATGAGGGAAAAACCATGGAATGTGTATAAAAATGTCATGAACATGACAATATTGCCCTCTTCTGGCACATTAATCATAACGTGCCTTTGATCTTTAGAGCTTTAGCAATGTGTAATTCTTAAAGTTTCAATTACATTTATTCTCTTGAAGGAATGAAATATGTAATTATCTTAATAATATAATAAATCTAAAATCATGTAATAAAATACTGATTATTTAAATTGTCTCAGTTAAAAACAATATTCTAAATATGAGATGAGGTCTGTGATGAGGTCTATTACAGTACATTTGCTGAAAAAAAAAACAAATTTTCAGTCTGAACTATCTTGACCAGTGTTTTCTTTCTTTGTCTTTCTCAGTGTCCTCCTATATTGTGTCTCTCAGAAGAAATAAGACTGTTCATATGCAGAGATATTTGCCACATACACAGGGTTGTAGTTGTATATGAGCGCGCTGCTCTCTTCTGCTGCTTCACTGAAGTGGTGGGAGCTTCTCCTTCCTGCAAACACACACATGCATTTGTTCATTCAAATTCATACAAACCAGGAACGATCAAACACATAAATAAATGAAGTATGCGACTGTAATTACCCTCATTTACAAAGAATTCAGCCAGTAAGGATGACACTCGCACAGCATTGCTAGAATGAGGAAAGTTGTAACGAGGGTCCCACTGAAAGCGGCTCACTTCTGGATGCCACTGTACCCCATAGAAAGGGTACTTCCTGCCTGCAGGCCAATAACATTTCAACCACACTGTGTATGGGTGCTTATGGTGGTTTTAAATGTGAAAAATGCCTGGTTTTGTTACCTTCCACGGTAGAAACAAACTCAAGGCCATTTTGCGCTATGTTCGTGGACAGCACTGAAAAGAAGCCATTTAATTTCTCATTACCCATGAATGCCTGAAAAAGAGGAAGAGTTCGTAGGCCTTAATCGGGTTAGGTGTCATATTGAGTTAAACACGGAAGAAAACAAGGCTGTGAGGGATAGACTTGGTGTCTTTACAATGACACACACTATATATAGGTCCTAGATCACATACAATTTTCAAATCTGTTTTATGTTGCTGTTAAACAACAGTACAATCCCCTCAACGCACTGTACTTCTATCCTTCACAGCCTTGTTTTCATTCCTGTCAACAATTAATTATGGCAGTACCCTGACTAAGGTCTATTGCTCTTTGTTTGTTATTTTGATAAGAATGATTTAAGTGCATATAGCGTGTTTATATTAGATGTACCTCTTTAGTCACCCCATAATGGTGGAAATTTGCAGTAAGTGGTTCCTGGGACAACGCTTTACGGACGTCAGATGGGAAGTTGGTAAACATACGACTGGATGAAGCCTCTGTTAATGGATACAAATGTGCAAATGGACAGGTTAAAAAAGGCCTAATAATACAGTATGTATGTATATATATATTGTGTTTATGTGTGTATGTGTTTATATATATATATATATATGTATCACACACACACACACCCCCACACACACACACATATATATATATATATATATATATATATATATAATTAGTTATTACTATCACTTTTTACTATAATATATATAATTAGTCTTTAATATCACTTTTTATCAATTTAACACATCCTTGATGAATAAAAGTATTCATTTATTCAGAAAATGAAAGAAAAAAATTACTGAACCCAAGTGTATATTTCTCTTAGTGTGAAGAACATTTTAATAATCCACCTTTAATAATCAACTTTTTAGAGAATCTAAAGATTCCATGGATGTTAAAAGTTCTTCATGGAACCACTGATCCCAATTAACCAAAAAAAAAAACAAAAAAAAAATTAAAGAGTGTATCATCACCAAAAAAATACTAAACTGGACCAAGATCTTGATCTTGACTACATACAGTACATTACGACTACAGTATATATTTGGACTAAGTACCTGAGGTGAAGTTGAGTGGATAAGTGACATTCTCTGCAGTTGTCTTACTCAACAGGTTTTGTCCAGCCACCAGCACCGTGAGCAGCTGAAATCCCAGGCATGTTCCCCAGATGGGGAAGTAATCACCCTCATTATTCGCCTGAGACGGCACAAAAACAACTCTTGATAAGACTGTCAGCAACGTCTTGCAGTGTCTTTCAGTTTATTTCCTTTCAGGCCTGTACAGTGCGACATGTCGCACGTGCTACGAAAAAAAAAATCAGTCTGTGCGATGAATAAACTGCAATGTGTGTGAGCCTGTTTACAAACTTCTTGTCAAACCAAGAGAACATTTAATGACGTTTTAGTTAACCTCTGTAGCACCAGTGCTATGCAACATACAGCCCTGTCTTTCTTTTTAGTTTCTAAAATATTTACAGTAATGGTACAGTATATGATCATGTCTAACTGTTCCGTTAAATCACAGTATCCTAGAACAGTATGTTGACATTACAAAATGGCATTTCATTAACAACAAGGAGCATCTTACATTCACTTACAGATGCAGCATATACTGTAATTCACCTACCTTAAGGGCAAGTCTAAAGTAAATCCCAGCGGTGTGAGCGAAGTCAGATGTCTCCAGATTCACAGAGCCTCCGATGAGAAGAAGACTGAATGAGAGACAGGACGGAGTTATTGATTAAATTAATTCTTTATGTATTAATTTTTATGGAATATTATTGTATTAATGTGAATCACAGCTTTTGTTTACTTTCTGTACGCTTCATTCAAACATGTACGTGGGGTATAAAATCAGGTTTGCACAGATAAATATTTATAAACCGGCAGAACTGATAAAAATCTAGGTTACAGCAATCATGTGTTCAATGCTATGATAGATAACATGTTCTACTGTCTTAAAAAATGAAAAGATAATGATCGTGTATAAATACATCAGGTAAGGTCATCATAACAATCTGTGTGTGACGGACTTGTTCAAGTAATGACAACACCTCATAATCTATAGAGTCTGTTAGAAAGATGGAGAACATACCCATTTATTGACCTGAAGATTTTTTCATGCTCTGCAAAACTCTGGTTTAGCCTGTAAAAAATAGAAATTCTGATTCTCTTGAAGCGTACGGTTGTTATTATTGATATGACTCTTGTCAATCGGTTTCTTTAATGACTCAGTCACACCAGCTGGTATATTCACACTTGTAAATAACATGATTGACTCTGAGGGAAAAACTGCAGGGTTGTTTGTACATTCGGCAGTACACCAAGTAATTTCAAAGACAATAGAAGTATTTATGAAATTAAAGTAGCCAAGTCCTTCTTAAGTGGGTCAAAAAGCACTCTTATAAGTTCAACTAATTTGTATTTAAAGGATTAGTTCACTTCCAGAATAAAAATGTCCTTTATAATTTATTCACCCTCATGTCATCCAAGATGTTCATGTCTTTCTGTCTTCATTCGCAAAGAAATTAAGGTTTTTGAGGATTTTTCTCCATATAATGGACTTCAATGGGGACCAACAGGTTGAAGGTCCAAATTTCAGTTTTAATGCAGCTTCAAAGGGCTCTACAAGATCACAGTCGAGGAACTGGGGTCTTATCTAACGATATCGGACAATTTTGACAAAGTTGGAGGAGAAGATGAGATGGAGTTTTTCGCCCTAGACCGAAGTACACTGATGAAGAGCTAACCACATGTGACCTTTCCAACGTGACTGATGCATGAAGTCATAGACGAGCATTTGTGGTTAAAAGTACATAGATTTGTATTTGTTTTAGAAAATGACCGATCGTTTCATAAGACCCCTATGATCGTGTAGAGCCCTTTGAAGCTGCATTGAAACTGCGATTTGGACCTTCAACCCATTGGTCTCCATTGAAGTCCACTATATGGAGAAAAATCCTGGAGTGTTTTCCTCAAAAACCTTCGTAAGACAGAAAGACAAACATCTTGGATGACATGGGGGTGAGTAAATTATCAGGAATTTTTTTATTCTAGAAGTGAACTAATCCTTTAATATAAAGGTAAACTATAATACATATTCGTTTAATTGTAAATAACATGCAGCGAAGTGTCCTAAAACATTACATTAAGTTCACACGCAAGTATATTCTGTTAAAGTATATTATTTCTGTAAATTGTACTTATTTTTCACAAGGGAATAGTCTGATTAATAGTCGATTAATCGTTTTTTTGAATATGAGTCAGATCTTTAGACTTACCTAATCGCCACAACTCTAGCTCCCCCGGATTCGATGTACTTCACATATGATGAAGGGATGTATGTCTCTCCAAACTTTTTCATATAATCATCAACCTCTTGCGCCAGAATCCCTATAGACAAAGTTTAGCGTGAGTCATATGTGCTCAAAGGTAAGTCACACGTTTTCGCCTGTTTGTTGTTATTATTTATAAATATGCTGAAAATAAATTCAGTCTGTTAGCAAAACTAGAATTTGGAGTAATACTTTAGTGCACAACTCCGTCCATCTGTTTGATATAAGATATGAAGGCATGAGGTTTACCGATGATCGGTCTGTCGTTGTCAGGCTCGTTGCTCTGCGTAAACGGAGCGGCGCCGCACAGCGCTACAACACACGCGCACAGGAGCGCACTGAAGCCCATTCCGACCGCGTGCGCACACACCTGTCCACGTCGAGCCAGCTGAGGCTGTGTGCTCCTTCACTCACATAATATGTTTCATATAGTATCTGAACTGAAAGTTATGAGGGAAGTCATTAGATGGGCGGGGTTTGTACTTTTTGGAGGAAGGAAAACAAAGGTTTAGCCTACACCAGTAAATACCGCTCATGCCTGTTCGTTTGGGAAAATACTGTTGTTGGGTGAGTTGGAGAAATTCTGCAGCCGTATTTTCCACACACGAGACCAGAAGTTCCTGATGCTTTTAGGAACCTGTATTTTCCAAAACGTTCACACAACCAGTGTTTATCATGAAGTGTAATGTGAAATATAGAGACATCAGCAATCTTGCCCATTGGCATAAGTTTACAGTCCACAAATGAACCTCAGTAGAAACACAAATGGAAATTATTGTACAATTTAGAAAAACTGTAGGCCTACAGTTAAAATCCATACTTAAAGTCCAAAAATGACTTTTCATTTGCATGTTTTGTGCAAACAATTTGAACTGTTTTATTTGGAAATAAGCCACATAAAAGTAAAAAGTGTTGAATTATGAAAAAGAAGCAGCCTACACTTCAGCAAACTTTTAAAAGAGTAGGCTATTTATTATGAAAATGATATACTTTGCAAAAATATGTGAACTAAATTCAACCATTCAGCATTAAACATTGTATCAACGTTGAAACAAGAACTGACATTATTTCAATCGTATTTCAACCGTATTTCAATGTTGATATGCCGGCTGTGCTTATTTTTGTATTTGAATGAAATAAAAATGCATTATAGTTTAAATTTATAAATGCAATTAGTTGAACCTTAAGAGTGCTTGTAAGTTCAACCATTTGCATTTGATATCAATTTAACTAAACATGTACATTTCAGATTGCATCTTTCCCTACTGACCTGGTCTCTGTCTTCATGTATGTCTGTGTGTTTGGGGCTGAATCTGAATGTAAGGCAGAGAAAAAGAGAGTCACTGCAGTAGCTATAACAGGACGCCAGCAGGAAATCATTCAGCAGCCTGAAGCACTGGCAGGGATTCCTGCTCGAGCCTTAAAATAAAATAATGTAAATATAAATAAATTTATATGTCTCTTCATGAGTTGAATAGTTATTTACTGTACAGTCCCTCTGAAACACAAAGGGGGAAAAAAATCAATAAATAGCCTACATTATTGCACAGTGGGTTTCTATGCAGCGCATTTTCAAGACCCCATCATATATCTTAATATATTCAATAAAATATGAAATTCACAAGTTGTAAAGAATTGCAGTTAGTGACTCTGTGGAGTGCAAGAGTAAAAACACTCCAAATTACAGATTTTTTCATGTTTTTGTAAAACAATGATATTGTAAAATATTATTACTATTTAAATATATGTTAAAATGTAATTTATTCCTGTGATGGTAAAGCTGTATTTTCAGCATCATTACTCCAGTCTTCAATGTCACACGATCCTTCAGAAATCAATCTAATATGCTGATTTGTCACTCAAGAAACATTTCTTCTTATTGTCAACGCTGAAAACAGTTTCATATTTTTGTGGAAACTAATGATACTTTTTTTTTTTTTTAGGATTCTCTGATGAACAGAAACTTCAAAAGAGCAGTCATAAAGGGAAGATGGTGGTGAATGTCATTTGCCGTGACTTCTCATAGCACATGAACTGTCATTTCAGCTTCTTGTTTTTAAAGCTAAAGCCAGTGTCCATGTGGAACAGAAGTACAGTGTCACAGTTACATGTAAGCAAAACTGAGCAGCAATCCCTTTCTTTCAAACCAGTTTATGAAACAGCAGCAGTTCTGCAGGTGACATCCTCCTTAATCACTGACAAAATGATCAAAGTGCACTTTTAGTGGTTATAATCTAAGTACACTCTAAAAAATGCAGTGCCCAGAGCTGGGTTAAATAGGGACAAACCCAGCAATTGGGCAGTTTTGACCCAGCGGTTGGGTTAAATGTTTAACCCAACCTTCTGGGTAGTAACCCAACCACTGAGTCAAAACAACCCAATTGCTGGGTTTGTCCATATTTTACCCAGCACTGGGTTGTATTTAACCCAGCATTTTTTAGAGTGTAGGCCAGCTGATAATTCATTAATTTATTATGTATTCATTTGCCTTAACCCTATGAATGTTTTATTAAATTAAACATAAAATAACATACACGTTTAGTAACATAATGAAGTCAGACTATGTGTGGATGTAGACTAGATTTGACCTTTAAAAACCCAGGTTGATTCAGTCATATTAAATGAAAATAAAAAATATATTTGACTTGAACAAAGGCAGTTCATTTAAATGTTAGCACATGAGGAATATTTGTAGCTTATTTTTAGCCTGAATGGCTGCGTTGGATGTTGCTGTGTTGGTTTGGAAGTGATAGTGGTTAAACACGTAGAGGAAAGGATTGAGGCAGGCATTGTCAAAAGTAAATGTTATCAACAAGTCCCAGCTGGCATTACACACATTTTTAGTGTCTGTAAATCTGCCGCCGCAGCTATCAGTGCCGAGCCATTAAACAGGTGCAGCAGCATTCAGAATGAGGAGGACACAACTTTACTGTGACCAGCAGCGTCAACCTCATGCTGCTGTTGCAAAGATGACGGAGAACATGAATACAAATCTCAACTAGCTCTGCTTCAGAAAAACAATGATTTTGTCCAAAATGCTATTGCAATAATCATCACTCATAACAAAGAGTCGGGTTTAAGTATATTGGTTGCATTGGTTCTCATTGGTTCCAATACATTGGTTCTCTCTAATTCCCATTTTCTTCTTTTAAATGTTCCCTTATAAAACAGCCTACTGCTTATATATACTCAGAAAGTCTTTCAGTTTTTTGGACATCCACACAAAGACCAGTCACTAGTCAGGTGGCCATGCACACAACATTTGACCACTGAATTTGCAAAAATCATTTCAGGTTTAAGAAGTGTTTCAACATTGCATCATCTACTGATGAACACATACATTTTTAGTTGAATTATCACTCAGTAGGTTATTTAACCTTGTATTACTAGTCTTTGGAAGGCTTCAAACACATTAAAATGCACAAATTCATGTTATTTCTTATTTACATGTAATTCAGGCATGTCATCTTGTCAGCATTTCATGTTGCTAATTACAATGAATGGGATATATTTTCTTACTCTTTGTATTTTTATATCAATATGGTACCAGACTATCCTATTCAAATCAATGTGATAAACGAGTTAGGTCACAAGTAATCTAAAAGTAAGCAAAAAGTAGTCTGATTATATTGTCTAAAATATGTAATGTAATGGATTACGTTCCTAACTACAATTTTTGTCATGTAATCTGCGATCAGTAATGGACTACAATTTATACAGAAATATCTATTCATCAGAAAATAGATATTTTTGATGAATTGTACTATTGATTACATTTAACGCTGCATTAATAAATTATTAAATTATGGTCCACTAAAGGGACATGGTGATGGAAAAAATATGAGATGAGTCATAAAACATTAGCGAGAGAATGCAAATTCAAATATATTTTTCAAATATATTTTTTGTCCCTTTCGCCGCTCCATAATATCCAAAAAGCGATGACTGAATATTACTCGGAGGGTAATATTTATGGCACTTTTTATTAACAATGTTTAACTCAATTCCAGATCTTTATAAATGTATTATTTATTGTAACCCACAATATTTACATGTGTAATAGTGTCTCATCTTGAAAAGATGCATAAATTCTTCAAATAAATTTCCTTGAGCATACAGTATAAATACATTTCATTCATTCACTCCGAGTTCTCCATCTGTGACGGTACATGGGAACATTTCCTCACAAATTAATTTACAGCATTCAAGTGAATTACTGGCAATTCTAGCAGCCGCTCCTCAAGCTCTGTTTTCCAGAAGAGTCTGAAAGTCAGGTGAACAAACCAACTTGTGTTTAATGTGTCCCAGCACAGACATGTCTCCCCTCCTGCCCTCTGTAGATACCGAGACCAGTTCCTACAAAAACACAAAGATTAACAGAAAAAGACAATGTAATACAAACCTAAGAGCAAATAATAAGACATGTAAAAGATTAAGATAGATAGTGTATAGATTGCATGTAAAGATTCAGACCAAAATTCCCATGATGAGTCATACTTTGCTTGGTCAGATTTGGAGAAATGTAGCATTACATCACTTGCTCAGCAATAGAGCCTCTGCAGTGAATGGGTGCCGTCAGAATGAGAGTCCAAACAGCTGATAAAAACATCACAATGCGATCCACAAGTACATCTGTGCATATTTCTCTCCTGATTCAGATGAGACAACTTTTTCACTGGGGAAAGCAATTTTCTGGATTATAGACTCGTATTTTAGCCAGAAGCAACAGTTTGATGTTAAAAATGTGTTAATGATGGATTTGTTTCTTACAAACACAAAGCTTTTCGCTTCACAAGACATTAACTGATGGACTGGAGTGGTGTGGATTGCTTGTGGATTATTGTGATGTTTTTATCAGCTGTTTGGACTCTCATTCTGACGGCACCCATTCACTGCAGAGCATCCACTGGTGAGAAAGTGAAGTAATGCTAAATTTCTCCAAATCTGCACCGATGAAGAAACAAACTCATCTACATCTTGCATGGCCTGAGGGTGACATACTGTACTGATGAGCGTAACTGACCTGCAGGAAGGCGCAGGTGGTTCCCAGGGCCACATCCAGGGTGACGTTACCCAGAATAAGCTGCACTTTGCCTGACTTCCTTACAAGCATCTTTCCCACCAAACCCTCCTGTAGATCATTAAGACAACAGGTGTTCTCTTCTTGAGATTCATCCTGACACACAAACACACACAGGAAAATAAAAAAAACGCATGAGTATAGGCAAAAACTGACATGAGTCTGTGGCCTAAACCTAGCCAGCGCCAACCTGAGTCTCGGTCTTCTGCACCATGGTCTGTCCGTCGCTCGACTGCACCTCTGTTTTGGTGGGCCGGACGTCAGTGGTGGGCGGCTGGCCTGGCAGACAGTCAGGAAGCTGCATGAAGAGAAGCTCCTCCTCTT